CTCTCTGAGACAGAGCCTTTATGGAAGTCACTTTGCATTAATTCCTTTGGTGGGTCAGTTGAGAAGTGTTAATGGGACCTCCATGAGAGCTTTACTCCATGACACACCTTTGGCATCCTGGAACGAGACAGATGGGTCCACCCTATCTAGAGGCAGGAAGGTTGTCACCTCAAAATGTAATGGGTAATAACACTTAGCTGAACAATATCTTCACTGAAATTTCGAGTTTATCATAATTATCTCCCATTCTCCATAGAGCTTTTGCCATTGACATTTCTGGGTCCTTCACCAAATCAGATATTGGGCAAGTTTCTCTTATTACTTCAAACATAGAGCACCTACTGTAGAGTGGTTGAAATTTCACCCATAGTGATACATGATACCTGGAAAACACCACTTCCTCTGGCATTTGCTGACAGAAACATTGGGTTTTATAAAATATAAAATATAAAAATAAAGGTGAACCTTTATTTTTGTTTAAGAAACATCACAGCTAATACATTTTTAAATAAGAATTTATTCCTATTCCTTAAGTAAAGTAAACATAGACCACCAAAATCAATAAGTAAGCCTTTTTCTCTCTCTCTCTTTTTTTTTTCTGACAGAGACTATTTACCTTTAAGTTAGAATGGCTTTATATGACGTTGCATTATATATGTACAGAAAGGCCTTGAGGCTTTCTTGAGGCATTTTTCTTGTAGTCTTGACAGCTGCAGCCTGCAAGCGAAGATACTTTTGACTTCTGTTTTATCTCTCTAAGTAGAGATAGGGTTGTTTGCTGAGAAGACATTCTTTAGATGTTCAAAGGGGCTTACTATCTTTTTACTTTCTATTTAATAAAAAGCAAATTACTTTTTCTCCCTCTTTGTATCACAATTTGTAGTTCCATGGTAAATATGATGAAGGTTCTGCATGTTCTGTGATCTTGAGGCTGTGCAGCATGACAGAGAATGTGTATTTTGACATATGAGTTATCGTTTAGTCTTTCCTTCCATCAAGGTACATCTATTTCTTATAATTGTGAAAGAAACACGTAAAAATGTGAATTTTAAATGACTTCAGCACTGCCTTCTTGAGGCCTCAAACAGTCTGAAGCAATATATCTGGGAGACGACTAGAGCCTCATTCATTTAGGAATATTGGGGTTGACTCACCTTGTATCATAAAAATAAAACATAAAAAAGACACTTTTAAAGTAAAATGAGACTAGAACTGAAAATTGAAGAGAGTGCTCTTGAAATTAGGGTTGACTCTTGGAAGATGAGTCTTTAACTTGGATTTACAGTTCACAGAGTCAGGTCTTTCCAAAACATGGTAATAAGTCACTGACAACCGATTTTACCTTTTAAATGCTAATGCATATACTGCTGTATTACTCTAAATCTCATCACCATTTTATTTGGTGTTTTTTAAATGTACATAATGATGGTCATGGTTTCCAAATTAAAATGACCCAAATTAAAATTTTAACTAGGAATAAGTATGGGTGAATAGGTTCAAATTGATCACATATTTGTTTTAATGTTTCCCAGTAAAGAAGTAATGTTCTGTGCTTGTTATTTGCATAATGTCTCTGTTACCATATACCAAGTAGTTTCATGGTCTGGTGCATTGCATAGCAGGAGCAATTAAAACTGGGAGTGGTGAATGCTCCAAAAAGAATGAAATTCAATAGAATATGGATAGTCTATAAAACTATAAATGCTTTGAGTAAAATCAGTGAACCAGGATAACGCTAGCACTCATGGCAGAAGGAAAGTTCATCTCGTCGAGAGGTATGAGTCAGGTAGTACATTTGTACAGAAATGGTGTCGGAATAAAAGTTCGTGAACTAAAAAGTGTGGCTTTTTGTTCTTTTTTTCACCTGGTTCAAGTGCTTTCACTATATGTGTCTTTTAAGTTAGTGTGCTGGTGGGAAAGTAACTGTCTGATGGCCTGACTGACTGCAGCTGAATGATCTCGTACAAACTTGCAGAAGACTGTTGGGCTCAAGCTCTTTAGAAAGAAAAAAAAAAATCTTGTTTCTTTTTTTTTCCCTCCCTTTCCCGTGAGGGTGACAGAGCCCTGGAACAGGCTGCCCAGAGAGGTTGTGGAGTCTCCTTCTCTGGAGATCTTCAAAACCTGCTGGGACACCACCCTGTGCCCCGTGCTCTGGGTGTCCCTGCTGGAGTAGAGAAGTTGGACTAGATGATCTCTAGAGGTCCCTCCCAACCTCAACCATCCTGTGATTCTGTGATTCTGTGATAGTTATGGATTAGGGCAGAAAGTGTCCTGGAAATGAGGAAGAGGACCACTCAATTGATTCTACTTGTTTTGGAAATTGGTCTGGATTTATTTTGCTGCTGCAGAATTGTGAATACACTCTCTTGGGCCTCTGTCCTTCTTTAAAATCTAATTATAGAGTCTGGGAGCTCTCTATTCTACCTGTTTTATGAGGGCTGTCTCTTTCATGAACTACTTGTTACTGATTTGAATTCATGCTGCAGGGAAGGCAATTAGACATTTAAGCTTTTAGAACTCCCTCTTTACAGATAGATTATTTAGTACACATAGATTATTTAGTACTTACTACCTTTTTGTTTGTTTGTTTGTTTTTCTGACAGGGAAAAGCCAGGTTAATAGTAATTAAATATCTTAAGATCACAAAGCAGGTAAACTACAAATAGAGCCCCTATCCTTGTCTTCGAGACAGCACTTTCGTCTTCTCGCCCAGTTTCAAATTTATGTAGATGGTTTATATATGTGCAGATATAAAGCGTGGGAAGTGCTGTCCCGAAAACAGTGTAGGCAGAGGTTTTAGAGTTTGTTTTTGCGCTTGTTAATTTATGCAAATCTGAAAGTGTTCTTGATAAGCTGATGAATACTGTGATGGAATTCTCTGTGTTCTCCACAAGATCTCTGAGTATCTGTTTTAAGAATTTGTTGTATCCAAGAATGCGGTTTATATTTAAGTCAGAATAGATATAGCCACATCATCCTAGGAAATAAAATCCTTCTGGCTTTATGTTGCTGCTGATCTTCTCTTGACCTATCCCTTGAGTACCTCTACAGTGATTACAGGATTATTTTGATGTTATTGTGTGCTTCATGGCTTGCACTATATTTAGTGTTCCCCGCAGTGGTTGCAAGCTCTTTCTTCTCAACTCTGCACAATAAAATCCTGCCATTTTTTTGTTAAAGCATAAGCTGCAAACAGGGCATAAGTATCAGATGCATTTCTTGTGCTTTTGTTAAATGCAATGTGCTACCTCAGGAGATCAATGTTTTTCAAATTGTTCCACATTAAATTGAAACAAAATGTTTATGTTAAATGTTTATGTTAAATTAATTTTCTCTATTCCCCCCAAAAACACACCCCACAAACAAAGACATGTGCACATGCACACCCATGTAGATACACACACACGCAAATAGAAAGAGGAATAACAGAAATGGAAAACACACCGATGATATTAGCTGTGAGTGAATGATTACAGTCACTGTCTCCATCTGAAACTGTTACTCTTTTGGTGGACTTTCTGATGCTACTTTCTTTGATCAGGATGAATACCTTGGAAATTAAAAGCCACCAAAAGTCTGATAGTTTAACTATTCCAATCAGTAATGGAGTAATCCTTGCGATAAAATGAACCCTGAAGTATACTCTTGATAGAAAGCCAGTTGGGAGCCTGGGGGTCAGGATCAGATAGAAAGACAACAAAATGTCTTGGTGGATGCCTCCGGGAAGCCTTGTTGATTCAGCCCATGCTTAGAGGTGCTTAGAAAGAGGCAGCATGGATTTACCAAAGGTGAATTGTGCCTGGACAGTCTGAGACTGCATCTCAAGTATTGTACCTAATTCTAGGTTCTCTAATATGCAAAACTGTATTTTCTGGAGGATAACAAAGCTGGTGGAAGGGTGCGTGCAGAGTACAAGAGAAGGCTGAGAGCTTGGTTTGTTCAGTCTAGAGAACAAGAGGCTGTAAGAAGATTCCGGTTGCCATCCTCAATTACATAAGTTAAAAAGGAGAAGAAGCCACACTCCTCTTGGAGATGCACAGCAAAAGGGCAAGAGGCAACATACACAAGTTACGTTAGGGGAAATTTTGATTGTATATAAGCAAAAAATTATTTACAGTGAGGATGGTTAAGCACTGAAACAGGGAACCTGGTCTCAAGCTCTAAGACTTTTCTGTTTCTCCCATGATGATCATCCACAGTCTTCCTGAAGGTGACTGAGCAGTAACAGGGGTGAGCAGATTCTGCCTGTGATCCTAAGTCATCCCCTAACTATTACTGTTTTGTGGTGTCCCCATGATTACTACTTTTTGATTCAGAAATCAGCCACATCAGAGCCTGGCTTTGAATTACTGAGCCCTGGCAGGGGAAGGGGAAAAGCTTATGGCATTTCAAGGGGCTTCAAAGTTGGGCATGGGTTTCATGAGTAAGTCACAGAGCAGGCTAACTGGCTTTACAAATTCATAAATATTTATTAAACAGGTCCATATTTCAAATTAAACATCAGCTGAGTTATGCTTGAGTGATGCAGGAGATAGTTAGCTATGATATAGATAAGTGGTATCTGTATGCGTGCAAAAATGATATTTATGCCGTATACATAAGTAATAGAAGCATATAAAATATTGTATTTTGACCTCTGCAAAGATCGACTGATCATCTTTGTTTTGTCCAAAACCAAAAAATGAATTTGTAAAATATGGGAAATTCAACCTTTCATTGAACCTTTAAGGTGAATATTTCATGTATTTTACAGCTTTACTCAAAGTTAAACAATATAATCTGCTCAGTTGGTGATCCAAAGCATAATGTAGGGAGAAAGAAGAAACACAGGGAGTTGTGAATTGGAGATTTTTAATGTTTTCTTCTGTCCTGAAACTGACTGAACACTATCTGAAATGTGAGTTCAATGGAAAACTAGGTTCAATGGAAAAGCTGTGCTTTTAACATATCATTAGAGGTATTTCAATATTAAATTTCTCTTTTTTTTTTTTATCTTTCAGGCGAGCCCTGCCCCTATAATTGTCAACACAGATACATTGGACACAATCCCTTATGTAAGTATTATTTTTTTTGATATATTTAATATATGATACACTTAAACAATTCATATATATATATACAAATAAACATTTGTTTTCACAATTTTTGCAAAAAGATCTTTTCATTATTGGATAAAATTATAAACAAATCATTTAATTAATTGTGTCTTTTACAGTTACCCAGTTAATTATTTTCCAGAAGAACAAATCAAGAGTGGCAATTGCACTCTGGTGGATTATAGTACATTACATGCACACATTTATTACTTCAGACTTCAATGCACATACTGTAACTTATTTAAATTACCATTTTTCAAAATATTCTGTGGGTTCATTAAGTCTTTCCTCCTTGCAAGTCACATAAAATATGAAGATTTCTTTTAGAGCATCAAGAGCCTTTCTAGATTATTAAGAAGATATCTAAAAGCACACTATAATATTAAAATGGTGTAGATCGCTCTTATTTTTGTTGTCTCTGTTTCTTCTGAAGACAAAAGCTACTCCTGATAAAGAAATTAGCATCAAACAGAAGACTATGTGTTTTCTTATCAATGTCTTTTAATTTTTATGGCTTTTTTTACCCCCAAATAAATGCATCCTTTCCTTATAATAGTAAAAAACCCACATTTTTTTCTACAAGCATTTGATAACATTGTCATTTTTAGACTGCAGAAGTAACTGCAGCTAAAAATAAAGAGCAGAGAAAGACAAAGAGAATGCATAATAAAGAGATTAAGCTTAAATGATCAGAAGCATGTAACTAATAAGCTAGCCAGGCAGTTTCTAATCTTTCTGTTAGCTCTACCATTGCTTATCTTTTTAAAGCTCCTAATTAACGTCCCTCATCTGTCATTTTTTTTATCCACATCTGTTTCTCCTGGTTCCCATGCATGAAGGTAATTATTTCTCCAAACAACCAACCAGATTGCTGGGTTCTGTCTTTTTAGGAAAATATCATTGCTTAATAGCAGTTGTTTTTGCCAGATGATTGTTTGTTCCTGACAAACTTAGAAATTATTGTGCAGAGCATATATAAGGACCATAGCCAAGAGCAACTAGGGGAATGAAATCGGTGAAAGCAGAGTAGAATCAAGTCCATTTGCTGGGAATTTTAACCTTTGGAAAGGTGGAAAAGTTAGCTCAGATTTCTGTGTTCCTTTGCGCTCAGCTTTCTTAAAAGATTTCCTGGCTTCTTTTTTAAGTCTGTTTTCATTTCAAAAATCAGAACTTGACTTTCTGGTTTTGCCTCCTATAGGTCTGGCTTTAATGAAATTGTGTACTTATTTTACACCTACTCTAGTCTGGTTTCCACCAAGGAGGAGCCCCAGTTGTCATTTCTAGTGCCAGACCTAGACCCTGGACAGTTTGTAGCCACAGTTACAATGTTAGAAGCCATAAATGCAGATGCATTTATATGAGTGATAAGATGTTCAGTCAACATGACTAATTCTCATAAACAATTTATCAATGCTTATATGCTTTTATACCAATTTTGTATTAGTATCTATTTTTCTTAAAAAACAAAAATAAAAAATAAAAATAAAGCAACAAAACACTTTAAAGAGAAAAAATGACAGTAGAATGAAAAGAGCCTGTGGACTGTGTTTCAATTCCCAATTTATTATGTGTATTAAAAAGCAGAAGGTGGCTGTTGTGAAAAGAGACGATTCTAAATTAGCCACCTCGTTCCTACACAATGCATGGGAAGGGTTATGTCCCTTAGAAATGGGACACATTAGGGCTACCAAAGAGGGACTTAGGCTAGCCAATAAGAAACATCAAGATGAAAAATAACTGGTGAGCCCAGATTAATGTAGTGCCCGACAGCATGTTCAATCTTTGCAAATAGGCTTTTCTTTCTGATCAGGATGTGCATGCTTGAACACTCTCTAAAATGAGGCAGACAGGCAAATCCATGGAAAAACCTCTTCCTCTAGCATAATACCTGGAAGAGTAGGCTGGAGGGCCTGGGTTTCTCAAGACCGTTTTGGTTTGGTACAAGCTTCTTCAGTTTTGTGGTGTTATCTTGGCTAAGAAAATAATCACGGGATAGCCATGCACTTTTGCCTCTATGTGCAGCCTCTCCTGCCCCAGGAAGCACATTAAAATCAAGCTTACAGGCACCGTTGCCCTACAGTACAAGGTAGCAGTGAGCCTTAGTCTGTCTGCTAAATATTGCAAAAGATGGAGGAAAATCCGCTGAAACTAGATGGGCTCTGCAAGTTTATAATAATGCACCTATCAGCATATCATTTAGCTTAAAGGGAATATAATTCAGCAGATGATAGGCTCCAAAATGGCTTTCCAGATAAGGCAGCTCAGAGAGTGATAAAATGTTAAATGTAATTATTATGATTTTGACATTTCAATATGAGTTGAGCACCTAACTTTTCAGCACTGTCAGGCGTTTCAGATATGCCCAAGGGAAGGATGTCGATGCCTACAGATGTCCCTGGTGAACGTTTCCTCAGCAAATTATTTCATTTAATTATAGGCTCACCAGCACAAGAAAACTTTCTCCCTGTTTATTTTTTTACATAATATAGACGGACCTTGAAGGTACCTTCAATGCAGTTCTATTTCATTAGTAGCATTGGTAATTGGCCTTGCTCCAAAAATCTTTGAGTGCCTTCAAACAGAAGCAGGGGGGAAGTCACTCACCAGAGTGACCAGTATTCATAAAGCTATTTCAGACATAATGTTTCTAGTCGTCTGCCAAAGATAAATTTCTTTTTTCTAGTTGTTAAAATCCCTGGTTTGTCTCACTAATACGCTAATTATTTTTGTTCGTGTATTTAAATCTTTTAGTATTATTGCAAATAATTATATGCCTTATATGTCTTTCAACTCAACAGTTTGAGCAAATACCGTCTTGTGACGAATCATCCTTGTTTTGCTTAAAAGAGATTTGCTTTTCTTAAACGAGATAAAGGAAAAGGTCTTATCATATTGTATGCTGTTCTTTGTAATCTGGACCTGCAGGAAATAGAAAAAAGAGCTAATTACCTCTTTTCTAGGCTCAGTGACTTGGAAAAAAAATTGGCTTGCTAAGCTTGGGACATGGAAGTAAATTTGATAGGAAGTTTCAGTGATACAAAATGGATTATTCGGTGGTGTTTTAAGCACAATTAAACATTCGTGGGAGTTTTCTTGTTCTTTATTCTTTGGCTGTAAATTTTAGATCTCTTTGTATAATGAGAACCACTAATTTAATACTGTATGAATCATCTCAATTTCTCTATTGCACAGAATAAACCTTATTTATTTCTTCTAATTGCCTTCCGAAATGCTGTAGAATTAAGTAAAACCTAACTTGGATGCCAGCTTTGCTGCATCACTTGCAAAAGTCTATTTAATTTATATTGCAATTCTATTAATTTATAATGCAATTTCATTTTAAGCTACATTTGCTTCCATCTTTGTGTCTTATTGCATCTAAGTTGGCCTAGGTACCTGATCCCTTCCACCCCCTGCTTCCATCACACTGCTAAGAGCTAGAGAAGGACGTTATGCTGCTTTTGTTCCCAATGGATTCCTCATATGGATTCTTCAGTCTCCCATTGCTCTTCCAAATCATTATAATTATTAATGCTTTGCTATTAATGTGCTATTAGTGCTCTTTCAAATTAATATTATTAATAATTAATTATTAGTGCTCTTAATGCTAACCTGTGCTGCTGCAGGTACACACAAGTTGTTTGCTATGGAAGTTAGGTTGTATATTCATGAGTTATAACCAGATTTCAAAATGTTTTACCTATACCTGATCATGCAGCTCTTTCGGAGCATTCCTGTTTAGGGTTGTCCAGAGCTCAGAACTTTTTGACAATACCAGAATAGGGAGCTGAGGCTCTCTTGGCTCTCTCCTTGGCTCTCTTCCCTGTCACCCAAGTCAAGCCAACATACGTGAATTCAGCACATGAAAGGTGTTTAAATAAATGATGCAGAGAAAAAAAATATTCTTCTTGGTTTGATTGTAAGAAGAAGATGGGGAAAAATAATGCATTTCTGAGAAACGATGCTCTAAACTTTTGCCAAATAGGTGCAGTCTAGCCCAGGGGGAGCAAACTGGAAGAGAGAAGTGGCTTTACATAGATATATAATAAAGCGTAAATGACATAGCACTGCATAATAAATATAAAATTTGATATAAAACTATGAGTGATAAACAAATATTTCAACAGAATGGTAATGGGGCATAAAAAGAAATCCTTCTTTGTCTAAAGCTGCTAAGATCATGAATTTCACAAAGCTTGATAGTTCTTAGAGTTCTTGAATAAATGAGTGTTTAATATATTTTCTTTTTTTGCTGCGACTCTGAATAAATTTGTTGCTTATGACAGCTTCTTTATAATTAGTTTGAACAGTTTGAGAAGTTAGATTTTACATCTTACCCTCTCAAACACCTCTATTTTTTTCCATTTTGAGGAAAAAAAAATGTTTGATTTTTATATTTATCTTTTATTCTCTCAGTTACCATTCATTACCCTGGAAAACAGACACTGGGTAATGCTCTGTGCTAGCTTTTAAAGCTGCATTGGCTTCTTCTGTGCTTTGGCCCTTGAATCGAATCATGGTGATGCTGTTTGCTGTAGTAATAGCTGTTGTGCTCTAAATGGCACCGTTTCTGCAGTGGGCTAAGTGAATTTTCTCTTATAATAGGAGCATTATGAAGATTGATTTAATTTACATTTGTAAAATATTTAGGCAACACGCATGAAAATATGCTACATAACAGAAAACTGACAAATTAACATAAAATAGATCCCCCTGAAACAGATATAAACAGAAAAATCTTCCTCCTGCCATGTGAGGACTTGAATAGATTTTAGCATGATGAATAGTGGTAACATTAAAGATGTTTTCTTGAGCTTCAAAACCCAAAGCGAAAGTATGGAATGGACCAGATTTATTTTGTTTCTGTTTCCTATCTATTATTTTTCTTTCTGAAAACTTGTATTTCATTCATTTTGTTTTAAATAGACCACTTCAGACAAGAATATCTTTACATAAAA